TTACAATGCAACTGAAAAAGGAAAGGTATGTAGGCTTAAGAAGTCACTATATGGCTTGAAACAATCTCCCAGAGCATGGTTTGACAGATTCAGAAAGGCCTTGATTGATTTTGGCTACACTCAAACTCAATCCGATCACACTTTGTTTGTGAAGCACAGGGGATCTTTGGTGTCAGTCCTAATTGTTTATGTGAATGATATTGTTGTCACTGGGAATGATCTGAGTGAGATTGATAATCTAAAGAGGAATCTACATAAGGAATTTGAAATTAAGGATCTTAGAGAACTGAGATACTTCTTAGGCATTAAAGTTGCAAGATCGAAACATGGAATTTTTATCTCTCAAAGGAAATATGTCTTGGACTTTCTTCAAGAGACAGGGAAGCTTGGAACAAAGGCAATTAGCACCCCTATTGATCAGAACCATAAAATCAGTGCAACAGAAGGTGAACCAATAAAGGACATTGGGAGATATTAGAGACTTGTGGGTCGGCTACTATACTTGTGTATGACAAGACCAGACATCTCCTATGCAGTGAGTATAGTAAGTCAATACATGCATGCCCCACGAGTCCAGCATTGGGAGGCAGTTGACAGGATCCTTGCTTATCTGAAGGGACACCCAGGCAGAGGCATATTGTTTACTGATCAAGGACAGTTGAAACTAAGAGGCTTATACAAATGCCAATTGGGCAAGATGCCTTGATGACAAGAGATCAACTTCAAGAGTGTGCACCCTAGTTGGGGGTAACCTAGTCTCATGGAAGAGTAAGAAACAAACAGTGGTGGCAAGATCAAGTGCTGAAGCCGAATACAGGGCCATGGCGCATGGAGTTTCAAAACTTCTCTGGATCCATTCTCTATTAGAAGAAATTGGTGTACAAGCAAAAGAACCCATGATGCTATACTGTGATAACCAGGCAGCAATTAACATTGCCCATAACCCAGTCCAGCATGACCGTACTAAGCACATTGAAGTGGATAGACATTTTATCAGAGAAATGGTAACTTTTGGAGAAGTTTGTCTTCCATACATTACTTCTGATCTGCAGCTCGCTGATGTTCTCACAAAGGGTGTTGCAAAAAACAAGCTGGAGCATGATCTAAGCAAGTTGGGAATGTGTGACATTTACTCCCAACTTGAGGGGGAGTGTTGAGTGGCCCGGTTTGTTTTGTTGAGCGGCCCGGTTTGTCTTTAGTTTGCTTTTATTTAATTAGGAAGTTGTTGGGCCTTAGGCCCATTAG